GTTTCACAAGACTTAGAAGAAGTATTCTTGATATCATGAACAACAAGATCAAAGGACATAATTGATTGAATTTGTTTGAGAAAAGTTGAATCATTAGTCAATGTTGATTTCACTACTCAAAGATGAAATTGTTTAGGTTTCAATAAAATTATTCTTTTGATCAAAAGTTGCATCTCTTTTTTTAGATGCAATATAAGAATATCTAAAAAAGGCATCGAAAAAATCTTATTATTTTCTTGGATTATCTCTTGGATTTTCTTCAATATACTCTTTGAATTTTGCCAACTCATTTTTTGATAAATTATAGATTGGTTCCAATAGCAATTGTGATCCTTCTTAAAAGTCAATTGTATAGTCATAGGGATGATGTTCTAAAAGAATATCTACATTCTTTTTCTCAAATATATCTTAAAAATCTTGATATTGGCTTAGAATACCACTTGAAGTCTTTGTACCATTAAAAATCGGTGTGGCATAAATGACACAAAGTGATCTTTCTTTTACAGCATACAAGAAAGCTCTTGCACCTACAAAGCTTGTGATTTTTTACTTGATTAACAATACTCTTAGTTATACTTTTAGAATACTCAAGTATATGAGAAATCCAATCTACTCAAGGGTTGTATTTTTCTAATGACAATAAACCTAAAATAATTGGATTAGAAAGAAATCTAATAATATTAAATACCACAAAGCTATTATGACCATTAGCTATTACTTCTATAGGAAGGATTTTGTAAATAACATCTCTAAAAGACAATGGATGACCATCTATGACTTCTACGTGAATAGGTTTAGTTTTCCTTACTAAAGATATGTTAAGTCTTTTAGCAAATTCTTCATCTAAGAAATAGGTTGAGGCTCTTGAATCTAAGAAGGCAAAGACTTTGTAATATATAGGTCCTAAAATAATATTTAATGTAAAACAAGGAGAGCGTTCTAAGGAGAAAATATGACCTTTATTAGGTATTATATAAAGTTCCAACTACACTCTCTCTATTGTAGCTCATTAAACTTGTTTTCTAATATATTATCTTTTTTGAAATTTGTACTTTTTATTTTATAATTACATCGCTTCTTTAGACAATATTGAGTAGTGTATTTAGATTCTCCACAACGTAAGTACAATCCTTCATAATGGCAATAAGTCTTTTCTTGCTTAATAAGAGGTTTAAAATGTACCACATCAATTCGCATATCTTCTACTTTTGAATGTATGTATTGAAGAGGTGTTGATATTGCGATTCAATTATAGTAATGTTGTCATATTGTGACATGATTATATGGTGAAAATATGACTAAAAATGATTTTTTAATTAATACTCTATTACATTAGTTCAACAAGAATTTAAAATATTTTAATAAGGCTTTTATAAAAGTTTCTTAACTTATTTTCTTATCTTAATAGCAAGTAGATAAAAGTTAGTTAGTATTTTTATCTTCTAGGATATAGAAATTCTTTTACTATTTTAGAAAGACCATAAATTGATAAAATCAGGGTAGAAGAGATAAATGGTTGGTATTGTTGATACTAGGCTCAAGTTGACAGTAGGATTGGGCTAAAAAATCCTTAGGATAGATTAGAGTAATATTCGAGGGTTGACCATTTGTAAGACATGGTCGAAATCAAACCTTTGGTCACTAAAACGACCACCTAGGGCAAATTAAGGATTCATTTGAAGATTGAAGATTAGGATTTGAGAGCTACCTTAAAGCTCTTTCTAAAGGCATAAGAATTATTTTTGTAGGAATTTTTGAGATTAGGAAATTATTTGTCAAAGTCAAGGTTTGTATTGGTGATTTGGATTTTATATAATATAATTAGCGCTAGCAATTTTGGCTAGTTTATGCAATTGATATAACATCTATGATTCAAAATTTGATACTATTTGGATTATTAGGTGTGCTAAGTATATAAAAAATTTTGTGATAATCTAACAGTGTGATTTAAAAATATCTAGGTTTTAGCACAAGAAGGTTTTGGAAGTTGGCAATTTAAGGTTGGGTAGGATTTATGTGATATTTGGAGATCTACTAGTTGGATCAAGGTGAAATTTAGCATGGTGTTGAAGGACTTAAAGATCAAGAAATACACCAATTTTGAGTCAGTTAACAGTTGGAGAAGAAGAAATCACTAATGGGATTTTTGTTTCACTTTTCAAGTTGGTAGCCGAGTGACATTAGTGTAGCTTTTGGAGGTTTTCTCACAATCTGTAAGTTGGATTGGGCTTAAAATTCTTAAGCATATAGAAGACTTATATTGACAATTGTATGCAAAATTTTACATCAAATGGACAGTCAAATTAGAAGTTATAGCTTGTTAAAGCTAACTAATTAGGATTGGGGCTTATAAGAAAAATCTAAATTATTTAAATATGAAACTAACAAGGTAATTGAGGTTTATATGTGATTGAAGCTACTAAGAAGAGTATTTTTTAGCACTTTTGAATTGGAATTTGGATTATATTCTTCTCATATGAGTAAAACCTATTAGGATTTTTTGGATGTTTATAAAACACAACCTCACCTTCCACAGGTAGGTGCCTAGTACATTCCCAAGTAAGACAACACATAATACAACAACGTTGAAGCCTACTTGTCCAACTCTCAAATCAAAATTTGAAAAGTCAATTATCACACTTCATAGCAAAGTCAATTGCTTGACTCAATATTTAGTAATAAGGTAAGTTGAGCATTAATTTCTTTATTTCATATTATAATCTATAGAAAAATTGGCTAATAAGTGTAGCATCATCCCACTTGATATTGATTAAAAGTTATCAAAATTGTGAAGCATATAATATTACGGATCGATTGCCTTGTCATAAAATATAGATCTTGTTGGTTGCAACATAAGTTGCATCATGTTTTCCATATATGGATCAAAATTCTACTAAAAAAGCCTCCAAATTATCTAATATTAGATCTTGTTGTTCAAAAAAAGATGAAAACCATAATAATGCTCAACTTAAAAGAAGTATACCAATGAATCTAACTTGTAATTCTGAAATTGGATAGCTTTGGGATTGAAGTTCAATCGCAAGTTGTACTTGATTGATGAATCCTTGAAACTTAGATCTTGTGCCATTAAACTTCTCAAGCAAGGTAATTCTTAATTGCCTTGTATCGGAAGGATGTTCCATTGTAGGAGAAGAGACATGATTGAGTGCAGATGTTGAAGTAGTTTCAATCATATCTATATCATTACTTCCTGCGATTCTTGTTGTTCTTTGTGGTGGTAAACTGAGTTGATGCATCTCAAGCATTAACTCTCTCAATTATTCTTACATTTGTAATATTTCCCTTTTCATTTCAATAAGCTTTGCTATGATAATATTTAAAAAATAAATATTTAATATTATTCAAGACAAGCAGAAGAGAGGACTTGAGAACAAAGAAGATACTATGAACAATATTAGTTTAGAAGAGGATAATCTGCAACTTCTAATACGCTTATGTCTTATCAAGAAAAAGGGATAATCCATGCTTACTTAAGAGAAGACAAAGCTCTAGTATTGTAAATAGATACTTATCAATTTGTCAAGGACATGAAATGAAAGAAGATGAGTAAACTTAGAAAATCTGTGTTAAAAAAAAAGTAAAAAAATAGTAATAAAGTAGTATGTATATTAAAAAGAAACTAGAATAGCTATCGCCAAAAGACAAAGAAACTAGAGACTCTTAAATCTAGACTAGAAGCAAGAAAAGAATTGACAAGAATGAAGAAGGCTTCACTCTTGCCTCTATATATACTATCTAACTAAGAGCTATGTGGCAATGTTCTATGGGACCTCTAATATATGTTGACTTTGCAAGACACATGCCTTACCTTACAAGGTAAATTTTCTATATGTAGACCACATAGTTAGCTTGTTTTTTAAGGTACCAACATGTGTGGCACATGGCCAACTTGTTGACCACGTTTCTAACCTAAAAAGTCAATTAAAGATATTTATAAAGTCAAAGTAGTATCTATGAAGCTTTTAGAAAGCTTTTATAGAGGATATTATGGAATTAATCTACTTTTACCTACTTTTATCTAAATGTTATAGGTATTTATTGGTTTACATGTATATGTCCGTGACAAGCTTCTAGAAATCTTTTCTAGAAAATATTATGAAATTAATCTATATTTATCTACTTCTAATTAATCATGTAGATAATTATTAGAATAAATACATATATCCCTAACAGAAGACTCATCACATCTTGGATACCACAACTCCATGCATGGGTGTACTTCATTACATACTTGGCCTATCTTATGTACATATGATTTGTAATGTTTTTGCATCATCCGTGGACTAGCTAACCATAGTTTTTTTTTTATTATTTATTTATTATATAGCATTGGTGGCTTAAAAACTAATAGCTGCTACTATCTATGGAAAACTTGACTTGCTCAGATAAGTTTTTTAGCAAGTTGAAGAACATCATGAACATCTTCTGTTGCATCAACAATGGATGTTGTTCCATTATCACAAGAACAATTAATGCATGTCCAAGATTCAACAATCATGCTCACACAAGGATGACCCAAAGGAACACTTGGACGCCATCCCAATAATAGCACTCTCAGAGAGCCATCAGACCCTTTCAAACTCAAGCCATCAGCCCCTTTCCTAAGTAGAACTTGCATTTTTAAGTCGAAGTTGAAAAATGCCGTCTGATAAAAGGGGGTGTGGACGTAGTCAGCCCCTAAATAAATAATCAATAGTAGTGGAATAAATAATCAATAGTAGTAGAACTATGGCTCGTCGCGATGCTCCAATCGCATTGCGTCGCAGCGGCGGTGGAGGCAGGGCCAGATCCCCCAGCGGAAACAAAATTAAGCTGGAAAAAAATCGGCACATCGAGAGCGAGCAAGCGAACGAACGATCTACAACATCCATCTTGGCAAAACGCGTGCCGGCCCCGAGGGTCGGATGCGAAGATATGGTACTGTTGCTCACGCGACGGACAAATTCGCACGAGCTCATTCAATGGGGCCCACAAATGGAGAAGACTCAACAGCTCCCCGCTTATCCGAAGCCTGGTGCACGGGATTGTCCATGTTTTAATAAGTCTCCGGAGTTTGAGTCGAAGTGGGAGGAATTGTAAGTGTTGCGCGCGATGCGAGAGAGGTAGTCGCGACGAGTGGAGCTGTGTGTTTTTTTTTCTTCCTGGAGGTGGGTTTGTTTTGCGGTGCTGAATCGGTGTCAATGGGGGAATCGGGAGTGAAGTCGAGGGTGGCCTTCATCTTGGTTGATGGGTTGGGTGATGTGGGTATTCCCTCGTTGGGATTCAAATCCCCCGTCGAGGCTGCCAAGACGCCCAACCTGGATGCTTTGGCTAGTGGCGGCATCAGCGGGTTGATGGATCCCGTGGAGCCAGGACTGGGATGCGGGAGTGACACCGCGCATTTGTCTTTGTTGGGATACAACCCCAGGATTTATTATCGCGGCCGTGGCGCGTTCGAATCTCTTGGCGCTGGCCTGGCTATGGTCCCTGGTGATATCGCCTTCAAGGTCCGTGCGTCCTGTGCCCTCGAATCTAATTGGGTTTGAACGTTGAAGAGGTTGGAGGGTTTGAGTGTTTAAGCCAGTAGTACCATCGCACTGTGATTGCGAATTACCTGGATCAGCGTCGATTGACAATGGGGTTTAGAGTTTTCCAACGTCGCGCATGGAATTTTGTATCTAATTGAGTCGTTGTTAGTCTATTCTTTCAGAGTAACTTTGCTACGATAGATGAGGAGACGGGAGTTGTAACAAGTCGAAGAGCAGATCGTCATTTTGAGGAGGCGGGTCCGATCCTCTGTGCTGCTCTCAACGGTCTGAAGTTACCGTCTTATCCTGAGTACAAAGTCTCTGTGAGGTATGTCTTTTGACATCCTTGTGCGTCAGCGGGCTGGGTTGAAGCTGCCGGATACTAGTCCCCTTCCGATCGGATTTTTGCGAACACGACGTGTGGGGGTTTCTGTTATGCGGTATGTTTTAGGTTTCCTCTCTGCTGGTCAGATGTTCTCACATTTGCCATTTTAACCCGTACTTCTGTTGCATATATGCAGGTACGCAACGGAGCACAGGTGTGGGGTTGTTGTTAGTGGACCCGGCCTTTGTGGGAACATCTCAGGATCCGATCCTTTGAAGGACCACCGACTCTTGCTCAAAGTGAAGCCACTAGACGATACTAAGGAAGCGGCGCACACGGCTAATGTTGTGAATGAGCTTTCAGATGTGATTCGTGGCATTTTACGCAATCATCCTCTCAACGCAGAGCGCTTAAAACAGGGGAAAGCTATTGCAAATCTTGTTCTCCTTCGAGGCTGTGGTATCCGTATTGATGTACATTATTAATCTCCTTCTTGCAATTCTGTATCTGAATTCTTTCAGCTCATATGTAGTTCAGCACAAGACAAAATCACAGCGGATAGGCAGTTTCTGAGATATTCTCGTTTTCTTCCTTAAATAGGTTCCGAATTTCATGGACATACATGGGCTACGACCATGTATGGTCGCGCCAACAAAGATCATTGCAGGGCTAGGTTTGTCTCTAGGGATTGACATCCTGGACGCACCCGGCACAACTGGCGATTATCGGACCCTTCTCACGAACAAGGCGGTCGCAATAGCAAAGGCTTTGGCTGCTCCCTTGGCTCCTCCACCCAATGTGTTTGTACCCGGCGAAGAAGAAACGAAACCAGGACACGCAGATGGTTATGACTTCGGGTTTTTACATGTGAAGGTATGAACCCTAAACTCTTTGCTTCGATATAATCATTTTCAGTGCAGCATTCTCTATCTGAAATGATAGTTTTATCTCTCAGTATGGCAATTAAGGTGTGCAACTGTATTTCGCATTTGATGAGGTTTTTCTGCTGAATATGCAGGCGATTGACGACTGTGGACACGACAAGGCAATGAAGCTGAAAGTGAAGGCTTTTGAATCTGTAGATAGAATGGTGTCCCAGTTAGCGCGTCTGCTGTTGCAAGCGCAGAAGGAAAGTGGGATACAATATTCAATTTGCATAACAGGGGATCATTCTACGCCCGTAGAGTACGGAGATCACAGCTATGAGCCTGTGCCATTCACGATTTGCCATGTCAATGACCTTGTGAAAGCGAAAGGTGGAGAGGATGTAGTTCTGGCGGCAGATTTGGCTCCATTTAATCTACCTAACGCTGCTGATGCTGCCAGGGCTGAAATTGTGCCCTACGAGAGCTCAGTTAACGCGAAAGCTGTAGCGGGTGACTCTGTGGCGACGTTTGGCGAAATCGCAGCTGCTCGGGGGTGTCTTGGGCGGTTCACTGGGAGCGAGATGATGGGGGTCATCAAGCACTACATGGCTATAAACGCAGCGTCTGTATAACTGGAAATGTTCTACACCTAGGAACTGCTTTCAAGAATTTCCTGCTGTTAAAACATACCAAAATGGTGGCATTTTACAGAAAAATCCTTGGAAATGGAAACCATAGAAAAACCTTTTTCTTGTTGCTCAAGTTTGTGGGTGTCGTCTTTGACACACTGGTGTGTTGGTTTCTGGGCACGCACGGGGTTCAAGACCATTCCCGTTTTACTGCATCTCAACGTGCACTTGCAACGTTGAATTCAGCTCATTCAGATTTCGGCAACAGAAGAATACTCCCTTTCAACATCTGATGAGTTGAATCAGTGCACTAAAATTATTCGGCTTGCCTGAACATCATCTTCAGGCTGTCATCGTTTCAATTGAACGCCGTTTGTACATCAAACTCAACCTAAACGTGACCTCAGGGATTGTTCCCCGACTAACTTTCAACTATTCCTAATAAAAGCTTCACTACACTACACGCGGTGTCAAGGAACAGACCCAGCACTTCTGCCGCGTTGAATCTTCTTCACTTAGCTCTGCAGACTTAGTCGCAAATGGAGTCAATTCGTGATCTGGAGACTTGTGCAATATTTGACCAGTAGCTGTGGATTTACCCCCCAAACCGCTAGGAGAATGGTTCCTTGTGATTACAACAATGGTAATTGTGCAATGATATTAATGGCATAAATTTGGTTGTGATTTTAAAAAATAAAACATCCAAGATATGATTAGGGGCTTGATTATGAATATATTGCAAAATTGATGAACCTTGTAAACACATTTTATCTTAGTTCATTATCTTAAATTTAATTAATTTTATTATTTAGGTTTATTGCTTATAAATATATCTATTTTGTGTCTATTAATTTAAAGACTTAGTTATATGGGCTTTTACTTGACAATATGATAAGTTCTATTACTTTAATGTTTATACTACCTCCTAAGTTAAACCTTAATATATACTTAATATTTTTAATAGCAAATCCATAACTATATTATTTTTAATTATTTGTTTTATAATTTAAGATCAAAATATCAATATAGAATCTTTTTGCTAAATCTTTGTCAAATCATCAAAAAAAATTATAACTAAGGATTTTTTTATGATTGTTAATTTATGATTTTTTTTAAAAAATACATATAAAAATATGTTTTATATTACAATTTATTACATTTATAAAAGAAAACTTCAATAAAATTTTCCATTATTTTTTTTATAAATGAATGTAAAAAAATTATAATATAAATTTTTCATTGAAGTTTTTTTGATCACCTATATTAAAAAAGAATAATATATAAGTGGTTTTTATAAGAATTTTTTCGTTATAAATATATTATTAAAATTATTTATTAAACTAATCTTTAAATTATTATTTTTATAATTTTAAATATCAATACTTCAAATGGAAGGACAAAAAAGCACTATTAGAAAGAATAATAGTTTCTTGCAAAAAATTTGGAAAAATGTTTTAAAAAGAATAGGAAAAAAATCTTATTGATTATAAATAATCTAACAATATTAAAAAATCTCATACCAAAATTTATGCAAAAAATTCAAATTTCTATGTCTCACTTATAAATCCATTTAATTAAAGCAATACAAACAAGAGATTTCACTCCTAGTGGAGTTATTTAGATAATATTTATAGGAGAATGTTAAATAGACACATGGTTTTTACTAAATTGACCTACTAAATATGGTAATCATAATAAATAAATAAATATAATTGATTTTCATTGGATTTGGATCCAATAGTGGAGAAATGAATCTAGAATTAATCTTTTTTCATAATAAGTGGGTCAATTTAGTAAAAGCTTGGGTCTATTTAACATTCCCCTATTAATGTGATAAAAGATATTGAAAGATTAAGCATTTTTTAAGACTAAATAACACATTTTGAAGTGGCAAATTTAGCAAAGAAAGAAGAAAAAAGAAAATCAACATGACTGTTATACCAAGAATCTAAATCTTTTGAAGAAATAATTGTATCATTTGAAAATTTTATAAAAAAAACTTAGATCATTTTTTCAATATCGATGTGGGCTCATAAACTTTGTGGTAAATGAACCAACATAAAATTGAAGCATACGAGTTATAAATCAATGTTTCAAAGAATACCTGAGCAGCCGAAGCAGGCTCGTAGCTTGCAAGCTCGTCCTGCTGAAGTTTAACTTCAAAATTTCTTTTTCAGAAGCAAGCAAACTCGGGAGTGAGGCGAATACTTTAAAGCTCCCATTCATTCGACGTAGGTCCAAGAATATATGAAACAGGTAAAGAATTAATGGTTATAAAATACCTATGCCTCGTGAGAAATACAGAACTTGTCTAAGAAAAGTTCACCGCAGCTGCCAACACATCGGCCTTTACATGGATCCCGAAGGCCAGCATGAACCATTACATCTTTTAGCTGGACATGACCCATCTTCTGAACAGAGAGATTCCGTTGCAGAATGAAGGGTGCATTGGACATATTTTCCATGCCACCAGCAACAACCACCTGATTGAATCCTAACATTATGCTTTGTGCTCCAAACATAACCGCTGCAAATTTATCACAATAGAGAACTTGTTAGCTTCATTATAGAAGAGGCTCAGCTATTTCTCAAGGCAAACTTGTCATCATAGAAGAGTTCATACATTCAAGCAAACTGGTCTGTAACTATTCTTACAAGTAGGAAGTGCAAGCTCTGATCATTCAAGCAAAAGCAAAACTGTTCTATCTCGTTGCTGTCTAAATAGAAGTTTGGTGTTTCAGAATCTTGATTTCTCGAGACAAAGTTAAACCAACGAAACTCCAATCTATCTCACACAAAAGGGGGGTGCTTTGCTTTGTCCCCTTCATGCCAGAGGCGCATACTTCATGCACAGTACTACTAACAGTTTCAGGTAACTGTGCACCCTTCTGGAAACAAATTATACTGTTCCAGTGCCATGTCAGGTAGTACCAACTCGCAATCTACATTGATTGATTTAATCCATAGGCACTTTGTCTCTGCAATCTAATATCTTCGGCAAAGCAAATGAGGAAGATAGCGCATTTGCTTCTCAATAGTTTCAAGAGAATATCCATTTGTTTCCTGCACATGAAAAGATTGGGAATTCAAGAGAGGGAGATTAAGCAACTTACCAAAGCGGCTTAGCGAGCCGAAGGTTGACCTACACCTTAACTAAAAACATTTCCCATGAATACCTCGTCGACATGCTCTCGAGATAGCTTGATGAAACCTAGTGCTCCTGCATAAACATGCAACTTTCCCCGAATTATTATTCAAGTTTCAAACTGCAATTAATAATTCCAATTCTAGTCTCGATGAGTTTCAATCAATCTTAATCGAATTAATAGGCTGCAATAGAAAGACAGCATTCTAGTCAAAACTCGAATTGCAATCGATCCGAGCTCGGGAGCGGAGAGAGAAGCAAGGGAGCCTTTGGATGATCTTACTAACGTGCGCTTCTCAGCTATGATCACATCACAGAGGACGGGGCTGAGCATGCGGTGTTTGCAACACTTTGTATCGACATGCTTCTCACTAGCTTCTGTAATCTCCGCCCCACCACCGCCATCGTCATCGCCATCGCCCCACTTATGACCCTCTCACACTTTCCCTCTGCAACAGTAAATCTCCGAGATTCTGTCTCCTATGACTGTAAGAGGTGTCCCAAAGGTCACAGCAACCTGCTAGAAAAAAAAACCACAGCGAGTCCTCAATCGCAAGTTTCCTTCTCTCCTCCCTTTTCGCATACCATCAACTCCTCTGACAGTTCACCCTTGACCTAATCCAACCTGAACCAAATCCGGTTCAAGATTAACATAAATCCATTGATCTAGAAGAACCAATGATCATGATTATTTTCTCAAAATCATTACGGTCGTAGGAACTGAGAACAAACTTAAAGCAAGTCGGGACGGAATCATCTAAAGTTACCTGGAAATTATATTCAGGCTACAGAATCTAAACTTCAATACGAAAATACTTCTACTTCTTGTCTGATTGCGTGCAATTGAGTAAAACAGCAAAGACCACTCGCTTGATACATGGGAGATTCGACGAACATAGAATTTACAGGAAAGATGATGAATGTTTGCAGCAACCACAGGAGTTGGGGAGGTGAAGACCGTGAGGTGGAAGAGTAGCATGCTTACGTAGCAATGACAACGTGACTGGCCTACAATTATACTCTGGCGTCCTTGGGCAGGAGAGGGAGAACCACCTGCTGTGACGAATCTGGTGATGCTCAAATTTTGCATAGACGAGTGGCGCGCGCCCATCAAAGCAGAGTCGTTGCAATATACATAATCAACTCACAATCCTGAACGGCGTAAAAAAACTAAAAAACTAAAAAAAAAAAAAAAAAAAAAAAAAAGAGTGTTCTTGGTGTCGTTTTCCACAACATTATGTTCCTGCACTGTGTCACAAAGAGCGACAGGTTCATTCTAGGGCGAACTATGCCGTGAACAAACGGTTGCTTCACACATCTCCAACCTTGTCATGCAACGAGGCAGTTCATCTACCTTCCACAAAAAGAATTTCAAAGCACAACTATGCGCTGAGTTGGAATGTGAGCTGCGTGCAAGTAGTATGGAGCACGAAACTTTGCTTAAAATTAAAGCCTGTGATTGGGCATGTACTGGGGGATGGCTTTTTATTGCTTGTCAAGTAAGCACAGTACAGCAATAGGAAAGCTACCGAGCTTGTATTGTAAATTTCAACTTGAAGAAAAAATCTTCAGCATGTTGAAAGATGTTACAGAATCAAAAGAATTCGAAGAGCAAGTGAAGCGTGATCCACAAAATGCTAAGTGACTAAAAAGGCAAAGTGGAGAGCTACGACTTCCAGTTCCGAAGAGTACTGATTTATTTCAGGTATGTACCTCACAAATTCTTGTAGCCGACGACGCCCCTGCCAAGAATTCGTCAGAATATCGCATCTGCCATGGCAGAAGCTGATAAGCAGCCTGCCTAACATTCTTTGTGCGCTACATATTTAAAAAAGAATAATCGAAACCCTAAATCAATCGGAGTCTTATGTAAATTTGATTCTTTGATCGAACACTACTGTTTTCTCTGTACATGAGCTTCATAAAAATGAAAGGATGCCTGTGGGGCTAAGCTTTCCAAAGCAAGACGGACTGTAGCCGCATGTCGCACAGGGGCATCTACTGTCTCCACAAGAACAGCAGCCTCAATTTCGCCGTAGTTGGAACCCCCTCCACAAATAAATGCTACAATTGCAGCTTGTAGAGCAGGAAGGCCTGGGTTGTAAGCCGCAGATTCCATGTAAGAACCACGATAGATTTCGCCTTTCTTTGTATAGATAGCTACCCCAGAGGGACACCTGCTGTAGGGCGCGTACGATGCATTGGCAGCTACAAACGCCGCAGTTTTGAGTTCTAGTAGAGAGCGCTTGCTGTTACGCAACCAGGAGTTCAGGCTTGGCTCCTTCAACAAGTTGGACTTCGTGGACTCTGTGAGCCCCTCCTTGTCTGCTACATCCTCTTCACATAAGTTGGGGTGAAGGTCGACTTCAAGGTTTGAGTATTCCTCTCCAGTTGAAATCGCTGGAGTACCTGGGGCAACGAGGCCATTGGCCCTTGACTCAAGGAGAAGGGGAAAGTCTTTGGACAATAAATCATCTGGACCAAATCTATGCGGGAGGAAATAGGAAAGTGGGCGCACTTGGGCGTCTTTTCCGTCTGTTACCAACACCCTGATATTGCCTGCATCTCTCAACTCCTGAAGAAATTGTCTGCAGCATCCAAATGCAACGCGTACAATCTCACAATTTTAGTCAACACAGGGATCCTTGAAGCTATGACAATAAGGACATTATAACTTTAAAACGATTCTATGGGAACCAAAAAACTTGCAAATCTACGCAGAACACTGCCACTAATCCTACTTAGAGGTGCAGATGTTTATGGTTACAACCAACAAGAAGTATATTAGAGGAGAAAAACAGACAATGCGCAAGTTTGAAATAATGCCAGGCCAACTCTCAGTAATCATCAAAAGATACTTGATGAAACAGAAACAACCAGTCAGGCCATAATCTTGGTGATTTCTGCGAATTCACTCGAGCTACATCAAATACAGGGCACATAGGATCTTGTTTTGATATATATTGGTGGTGGTGGTGTTGGTGGCAGTATTAGTATCTAAGTCTATCTCTCTCATTCTCTCGCTCTCTTTCTCAATCCTCCCAATGATCGACGTGTGTGAGAAAAATCTCTGTCGTATTCAGTTTGGGGGCATTATGTTGGCGAAAATCCGCACAGCACTATGGCAATGCCGTACATGCCTAGAAGGTTTGAGAGAATATTCAGAATACACAATTAACCACATTCGAAATCCAGAAATACATTCAAGAGATGATGCATATCGGTAAGGAAGTTGGACACGAACCTGCAATGACCGCACGGGGCAGCGGACACCGCGAGAAACACAATCCGCTTCTCGCCATGTTGCAGCGCATTGGCGACGAGGAACTGCTCGGCGTGCACGGTGCAGTTCAAAGGAAGCCCTGGAAATTCCAAATTCACACCTCTAAAGATGCGCCCACTGATCCCTAGCCCCACGGCCCCAACGTGAAATTTCGAAATAGGTGGGCGAGCCAACGCCGCCGTCGGCTTTACGAGACTCGCAAGGAACTGCTCCACTCCTAACCCTGACGCATGCTGCAGCTTCGCAGCCTTCACGGAATCTATAACGAATTCCGGCATTGTGCCACACCGCGGTCGCATAATATTCCTGAAAACGATTCAACCGGAAGCTATTTACCCTCTTCACCAGATTGGCCGACTCTGAACACAGCACTAATACCCTGTTTCGATCTCAACCCACAAATTATGTGTATATAGGTCTATCAGACAGAAGTGTAGATTTCGTCACCGAATGATACAGTCTTCCAAGCTACAAATTGCTCACGTCTCTGCTAAATCATGGGGCGTCTCATCATTCCTGAGACTTTCCCATCATAGCAACGATCAATCAACGCAGTTCGCAGGTTGATTGTGAAGGGGTGCACTGCTTTTCTACGTTACCAATGCCACGAATGTCAGCTCTGGTGCAAGAAAGAACGTATAAGCACATGCTCACATGATTTCAGGTCACCTTCGACCAGCGTAACAACTGCAATCAGAGTCCTAGAGAGAATTCGCAGATTCACCTGAAACCTTACAATGCTATAAACTCGTGGTCATCATATTCGCATTGTGACTGATGCACTCAGATCCAAAAGATTCGAGACTGTGATTACATTGTTACACCATCGTAATTGGACCTAAAATCCATATCATTTTGATTTACTTTAATACCCTCGGCTAGCTTTAAAAACAGGGTAGTGAACTTTGACTGCAAAGGAATGTGGGTGAGTGCAGGAGCTATGAATCCTGGTCGCAAGCACTGAGAGGAAAGTACCGGAAAAAGGCGCTTAAGAGGCCTTAAGGCGCTTCAGCTATGAACTAAAATCATAACGAAATTATCAAGGAATTTTTCCAGGATAATTGCAGGTGTAATATGGCAGAAACCACAAATGAGAAATACTTCTTAATAGAATCTGACGTAGACTTATAGATGCTAAAATTGCACGTTAGAAGAGTTGCTGTAGAAGCAGACAGATCACATCAAATATAAGGGCACTTCGAAAGAAACAATTCGGAGGAGACAGAGAAGAAGCGGCCAGTTGGAACCGCATAAATACTGCACGTATTTCTGCAGTAGCCGTGTTTAATGTAGTATGCCAAACCTAGACGTATTCTGCAAAGCATTCCACTGTCGGGCGTGAAAATACAATACTATTCCCAACCACCGGCCGACGTCACGTGAGTGGCAAGAGAACCAAAGTTGAGAATTACAGCACTCATTCAAGTCCACAAGAAGCTACATACTAAAGCTCAACGCGGGGCAAATAAGTTTTCCTAAGAAACTATAAGACAAAGAATGCACGAGGAGGTATATGAATGTCGTAGCAAAAAATTGTGTTCCCTGGGCGGGCGATTGACTTTACTTCAGCCAAGAATTGATGCAGGGTTGCTTAGAGCGTGCACCCTGCTCAGCATGTTATACAGCAGATGCAGGGAGACTAAGTTAGCAATGGTGTCAAAGACATACGTACTGCTCGTCGATTACTTAATGTAAAATGGAAATGATTAAAACTACATGCAGCTGACTAACTTTCTACCAGATTTCAATGTCTCATCAAGTTCAAAAATTGAGACGCTTTGCTAAAAAAGAATTGTCTCAATTTCCTAAACTAGCATTCTTGTGTCCAAAATAAAGGGAGATCCTGTAGGAGCAGCCAACCCAAGCTGTCGCATTATACGTAACCTTCTCAACCTTCGTTCTGGTTTTCGTTGTACTCTCTCCTCCTCCTGCATCGCGAAAGCAGAAATCCCTTCTATGAGTACTATCCAAATAGATGGTCCACCACACAAGCACCTCATTGTTTACAGGCTTGTGGCAGATGCCGTACCATGATAAGGAAATGCAACAAGGGATCAGATGCTGCGCTACGAAGGTTTCTCGGGGTGTACCACATCTACCTCGCCATCATACAGCGTGGATGTACAGGAGATATACAATCAGTACACGTGTACAACACAGGGACATGTTGATTTGCTACAGAAAGACTATGTATAATCAAAAATAAATAAAATGACAGGAAATTGTACCTCGTAAAGAACCTTAGGCTTCCGTTTACGCGCAGCTCGTCTTTGCTCTGTCCCCTCATCTTCAGGGGTTTGCTGACCCATACCATTTGCTCTAACACCTGCACAAGGAATCCACATGAGTTAATTTAGCCATAGATTGTTGATTTTAACTTCATTATACAAAGCCAAGATGTTTGACATCAATGAGTACATCTAATACTGATTTTAAGTACATCTTGCTTCTTGATGCAGGCACAAAAACAAAGTTAGGCAGACTTTAATATTGCTGGAGCGAAAATTGACATTATGTCATGACGATTTTTTTATCATTAAAATAAACAAATCCAAGGACATTCAAACAAAGAAAGAAAAAGGGCTCAAAACAATTCAGATCTTGTGCATGTGCACCATTGCTATGTGGTTTCTTGGGTGTTTTAGGCTCCTCTTGTTCTGTAGAAACCGTGAAGGAGTCTGGGAGCTTTCCACTTCTACGATACTCAAGTGCCTGCACACAATCGAATGACTACTTCAATTCTATATCTCAAGAGCTTCTTGAGTACAGTAAACCAGATGTCCGAAGCCAAACCTCTAATTTCGATGCTATACCCAAGAATTCCGTGTCCTGCCTTAAGTGAAAGGGCTGACAAGTTGCATGAGATGAATGAGTATCTGAGGTTAGCGTAAATACTCAGTGTCAAAACATCATAGGCTGAGTTTGGAGCAAAGTGAAATACAAACAGCCAAACACTGACCTCTTCAATACCCTTCTGAAATGCCTTCTTCTTAATTCTACTCCTTTCTTGCATCTTCTGGAAATAACAAAATACTCTTCAAGATGTTAGTGCAGTTTTCATCAATTGTGTTGTATTAACACAAGCCCACAAAAAGACCATCTCATGCAATGAACCAAGTCAAAATACTGCAACGATGTCAAAAGAACTATGTAAAGGGTTCAACGATGATACTCGCATCTGTAAGAACTTTACTAGCAAAGAAGAGCCTCAAAAGTGAGAACTGAAAATTGCTGATTCGTCATAGCAACAGATCCCCTGACAATCAGAGGCCTTGATGACAGGACACTAGAAACAGCAGGAATAACTTACAACAAAGCCAAAGAAAGGAAGAATACTGAAAAAATACTTGGTATACATACCACATCAAATTCTGATAAACCCACTTCTGGATCCACCCAACCACTGCACCCAACAACAAACTCGCTGTAAGTAAAAGAATAACTAAAAACTACTTGCATCAGAAGAATTTAGTTGATGCATGTATAGAAGGTTTTCTTCCACATTGTAATAGGCTTCTAAATATAATAACTGAAAGGTACGCATTTTTGTCTGTTTGAAAAGCCAACGATCGAATTTTTACCGAGTTGCAGGGACAAAAATGTTTTACATAAGGGTTAGAGCACATACTAATCGTAAGTTCCGAAGAAGCGCACTAAAACATCTGTATTGCTTCGCCTGTTACCGCCAGTACCTGGTTGAAAGGCCCTCTCGTTGATGATCTGTTCCCTCCAATCACAGCTATATAAATACAATGACATGGATCGATGAAGCAACCTTCAAACAAAATTCCGTGCATGATAGCAAGAGGCCCGCATCACAAATTTTAGGCACAATAAAAAGAAAATCTTATCGTCTATAACTTGCTATCTCGCATTTTAGGGGTACCTTTCCAAACGCTAGTTCCATTCATTTCACTTCGTCAAAGAGAAAAAATAAAGAAAGGTAGTGTAGAGACTCAGACCTCAGCAGGCCACCAAGGAAACCTCGCAAACTTTGCCCACACAAGCTGCCCGTGCTTAAACCGTGGAGAGGCCTCTGTTACAGCCATAGAAGTCCCTTCGTCAGCACCGCCGTCAGCTCCAAACCCTACATCAGAGATTTGAGGATCTTGTGGGGCAAGAGCGTTTAAGATAGCACCCCCTAGAAACTCTACGCTGTGAGTTTCTTCGCTCTCGGTTTCTTCATTATGGTTTGTCACCGTCACTGAACATCGTCGAAGACAGTTTGTGAGGGAGGTAGACTTCTTGTTTATGTACAAGTTTTAAACCAAGTGCGGTAATTGTGAAGTAATCCAAAAAAGGAATAACAAAAGAGTCTCAGCTAACAGCCTACTTGAGAGGAATACCTGAATCACTTCCTCCTACATCCACTTCTGGGCCGACACTATTCCCTATTGATCCCTCGTTTTCTGATTGAGCGTCTCCTTTCGATGAGCTTTCATTTTGAAACTCCGGATATTCTTTGGAAGAGCCCTCACTTTGTGACTGGGCCTCTTCTTTAACAGATGAACGATCCTCAAAATCACTACTCCCTGCGTCTGATTCCTTTTGCCTCGTGCTCTGATACTCATCACCTGTGCAGCAAAAACAGTTCAGACACAAGATTCCTCATCTTAATCATCAAATCTGCCATACTTCCAATTTGTAGCGTGTAAGTGTTGAACTCATATGTTAGTAAATATCTTGAACTCAAAACGCCACAACGTAGGCTTGAAGGCATTCGATATGCTTATTTCGGATGACCCCTAATTATCATAATCGATGGGTTCATACCTAGTACTGTGAAAGTTTAGAGCCGCCAGTTCGAAGATAAAACTTCCACTGCGTAGCAAAAATAGCCAGTACCTTCAGAGATTGTGATTGATCTCCATATCAGGCTTGCATGCACAGTTTCTTCAATACAGTAATTTTGATTCGAGAAATCGTAAGTGCTGGAGGCGCTCCATCAAGAGCAGAAAATCAGATTACTCAATCCTTCAAGCCATTAATCTTCTGTCACCTGTCAGATGATTGACCCAATCCTCAGGCTAGTGACGCGCAAATATCTAAGAGATATCTACGTAAAGCGCCTCAGTAATTCACCACCCTCAGGTTTAGCCGAACGTCATTTAATGTACAGCGCCATAACATGCCAAGTCCTTTGTTGGAAGGTTCGAGATTTGGACGAGCTGTCTATATTATTAACGGTAATCAAACCTTACGCAGACAGATTGAAGGATTTGCGTGAGCTAAAGGGAAAAGATTTGCAGTGACTGACAAACAGTGACAATCTGAGAGATGAGTAAGATCTGAAAACGCGAGGGCGCAGATATTCCACGACAACTTTCTATCCCATTTACGAGAGTCAGCAGACAGTGCGATGAAAATATAAATCTTGAAATTTCAAATCCGCCGCAGTCAAAGAGTTCTGTTCTTATTTTTCTTTGGCAAGAAGTTCCATAAACCTACACTACCGTAGCTCGAGAGAGAATTATCTGTTAAAATTAAATCAAGAAGCAAGTTCGAAACACGTAGTAGCCAGGAGTGTTCCAACAAACAAAATTAGGAAAGCCAAACCACAGAACAGAAAGTCTCAACCAGATGGAAGCATACATTGAAGGCCAGAGATTTGAGCACAAGTGAAGGGATTGCCACAAACCTCGAAGATCTATCACATGGTTTTCGTAGCTGTCCGAGTCGTACGTTGGTTCTCTAATCTCCAGCGACTTAACTTTCTCTTGCTTAGCTTTAAATTCTCCTCTTCCACGCCCCCGAGGCGCCATTACTTTTTAGATCCTGCGACAACATTTACTGATAGATCGGTAAACCACCAAAAGTGCTGGCAATATGGATTAGACATCTAAAAGCTCACTTCAATTTGTAAGACCTATATTCAAAATCACTACAAAGTAGAAAACATTTCTCACTAGGTATAACTGACAAACAGCATGCTCAAGGACACCATAGCACCTTAGAGAAATTGCAGGAGTTCGTAAAAGAGCTAATTAACAGAAGAAATGAGCGCGTAAAGAAACAAGACAAGTCATCGGAATTACCTCAGGCACTGAAGCCTGCGCACGAAAATGCACAAGGGTGTTGAATAAAGGATTGCCTCGAAATCAAAAACCACGCTGAGAAAGGCCGAATGCTAGTATCGTTAATAGAAGAACAAGCGCAGCATTCACGAGAAAAATAACCTAATCTGCGACTGAAACCTCTGCACAAAAGCAAAATGCTAAAAAAGAAACTTCGACAATAACTAAAATAATCCTAGAGACTATGAATCGAGAAGATAGCGATAATCGAAACACTGAGTAGGAATGCCGCACAACCACATTCGCAATGACGCCTTAATCAAGCTCTTGCGGAAACCCCAGGCAAAAACGCAATAGAAGCCACACAACACCGATTCAAGCCCAATTCGAGTTCTACTCCCTAATTGGCAAGAAGCTCCGACACAAAACCAAGAGCCACACTTCTTACTCAAAATGCTGCGCCCACGAACACCTCGCTACTCCCACTACCATCACTCATCAACAACCATAAGGAACACTGTAACGACCCTAGCATGAACTTCAAAACTCCACAATCAAACATCAGCCGCGAACACAAAGAAGGAGAAATGTCAAAAACAAAAAATCCCGACCGCAACAATACGCCACAAACTACTCCACTCCTCCCCCGCATCCGCACCACAAACCACCATCCACATTGAAACCTCAACCCACGACGAGAGGTCTCGACAACCTCATAAACACACTTGCCAAAAATTCCGATGAAAAAGTTCCAGCTCTACTTCGCTGGCAATCCACATACTTCGAAAAAATTCCTACACACCATGTGGCTCATGCGAGCGCGACCATCGCCACCATGCACACACGCGAAATTTCTCGACCGACGCAAGAATCGGCTCTCGCGCTGGCCACTTCCGCCCCTGGAAGCTGGCTTTGGCTCACTCCGAGACTACTTATGCTGTAGTGATGGCACCACGGTTGGCACTGCAACCACCACCGCCGCCGCCACAAACATGAAAGAAGAACCGCAAGGAATCGTCGAAGGACGTCCGGATGGCGATGGAAAAGCAGGGGCAGCTGGATTTGCGACGCGAAGGGTGTGATTGCGGAAGCCAAAATCGCGATGCTGCAACCGATTCGCAACAAGGCCCGGCCAGAAACCGACTGGCGCCCATTCGGAGGCCATGCTTTGTTGCACTTTGCCAGTGTAAACAGGGTCCCATCTCGTTGCCGGTGTGAAAAGGGACCGGCTTGGCTGCCGCGTCGATATAAAAGCAGGGTTCCAACAATTAGGGCTGGCGATCCTTTGAAAAGCATAGACTGAGGTCAACGAGAGTTGACTTAAAAAATTAATACATGCAATGGACTTTGTGTAGCTTCGATGGGAGGTGTCAAATGATTCTTATTTTTCTTATTTACTAGTAAGTAGGATCAGGTACCTACTGTGCAGTTTATTATCATAAGGTGTTGATATGGTGTGGCTGTTTCTCATCAACTTTGCTAGTTTTAATGCCATTAGAAATAAATTGTCATGTATTTTTAATGTTTTTTAAAGTGGCTAGAAATAACATTAAAAATAGGAGGTTTTTTTAACAGTAATTTCGATCAAGTATGTTCTCAAACCTCTATGTGGAACAATGTATTCAATTATTTACATACAAGTATTCAATTAATTAATTACATACAAAGCAATGAGTTATACACATATAATTTTGATAAAAAATTAAATGTTACAACTATATATTGTGTGTGTATGTATATATACACAAAGGTACTACTAATGTCTCCATAATTTTTGCTAAAAATTATATAAATAAATGAATTCCTATACCTAATATAAAATAAATATATATATTTTTACTTGTCTAATAAAAATATAATTTTATAACATCACAACTAAAGATATGTCTTCATATTCTTCTAATACTTACTTAATGCTCTTTTAAATTTTATTTAATTATGTAGAATTTTCATGATTAATTTTTTATAAATATATAACTTGATATTATTTCATATAAATTATATTTTAAAATATAATGATTTTTCTTTATTATTCTTGTACAAAGAAAATTCCTTGTAAAAGTATTATTATGGCATGAACTTTATAAGACTACATAGAAACTGTATGATGTTTTTTGGTCTACAACAAGACTACTTGGTATTCCCATGTTGAGTCTCAAATACCTTGAATGTTCTAAAGAACAAGTTTATTAAAGTTTCAATCTTAATATGTTTATTTTTAATTTTAACTATTAATTGATTGTACAAAAAAATAGCTTATTTAAATATTGCACTAAAAATTAGTCCAACAATGTAATTCAACAAGAGATACTATTATACTTAAGTAAAAAGGGTTTCAAGATAACAAGTTTAAAAAATCAAGATTTTATATTTTTTCTAAATATATTTTAAATTGGATAATATTAATAATATAAATTTTTATATAATTTTTTTATTAAAAATACTTTATATTTGATTTTAGGGCATTGGATTAAAAAAATTTAGCATTTGAAATAGATGCAAGTTTTTGTTTGTTTACTTTTACTTTTTTTTCTTCTAAGAAAATTAATTTTACTTATTTTTATTCTTATTTTTTTAGAACTTTTATAAGTTGGTTTCTTAGAAATTGTTTTCTTCCAAAGAATCTAACTTTGCCAACCAAATAATTAAACATTACATCAAGCTTTTTTTTAAAAATTATCTTCTTTTTGTAGTTCTATTTTAAAATCTTAATAATAATATTATTTAATTATTCATAAAAATTAATCATTTAAAAAAGAATAAAGAAAAATCTATAGTAATATTTATATTATTGATTTTTAATTGAGGTAGAATTTATTCAGAAAATAGTTAAGTTTTATTATGCTTACAATCAATATAGAATTAAATAATAACTTTAAGTATATTGACTTGAATACAAACTATTAATGGTAATTTCTTTTTACAATGATTTAAAAAAATGTATGATATGAAATTAAATGTTAGTATGGATCATATATCCTTTAAAAATATGTTGTAAAACCAAGCAAAAAATCTGGATTTAAACTTATTAACCTACAATGAATTAAAAATTTGATATGATTTATTGCAAACATGCAAGCCCATCAGTTATAACTTGATTAATCAAAACCTTATTTTTGAGATTTTTTTAAAATTTAAATTTAAAAAATCTATATAAGAAATACTAAAAAAATATTTATGGTTCTAAAGTTGCTAAAAAAACAAAATATCAAGCAATAATAAAATTATTTTCAAATAATAAAAATTATAAATACATTTAGCTTATATCTATTGCTATGTAAATATAATAATTAAAAAAATTAAGTAATTATATTTTTATAATAATATTTATTAAAATATATAATATTATAGTTAAATAATCATATATGATTATTGTATATTTAATATTAGAATACCTTAGTTACTTTAGTAGTTAAAACTTATTTGTGGACAAATGAATGTTTTTGAATCTAAACAAGGCATGTTAAAAAATAAGAGTTGAATCTTTTGAGTTTGTATTTAAATATGACTTTTGCCTATTCTGCATTAATTATATTTAATGAGCTTTAAGTTTTAGAGCATAAAATTTTTGACTTATGAAAATAAAGTTAAATTTAATAAATCTAGTTGAAAAAAAAAATCACTTTAATTTTTGTAATGTTTTTTATTAAAAAAAATTATTCTTATTAACTATATTGTCATTTTAATCAAAATTTTGCTTATCAAATCAAAAGACTTGCTTTATCAACTAGATTGAATGATAACCTTTGTAGTAATATCTCTTTGAATGAAAAATATCTCTTTGATGCTATATATATATATATATATATTGCAAAGAAACTATCTTTCACATACATGACTGCACTCATGTATATATATATATTGCAAAGAAACTATCTTTCACATACATGACTGCACTCATGTATGATTTTTATTTTTTATTTATTTATCGCCTTAATAAAAAAAAAGATGAATATTTTTAATTATTTAATGAATTTTCTTCAATATTTACTATTTGCTTTTGAAACATGTTTTTTCACATCTTTTGTATTTTTAACCATACCTTTGTATTTTTATGTTCTTTTTTTTTTCTTTTTTTTTCTATTTTTTAAGTATAAAATATTTAAAAAATAATTACTACCTTTGTCCACTTGATTTTCTTGTAACTATTTTCAGAAAACCACAATCTTTTCTAATTTCATATGCAAAAGCACATCATAGACTTGTCATGCATAACCTTGTCAAATCCAAAGCTAAACCTACATTTGCTATAGGAACTCAATAAAAAAAACATTAATACTTTTAAATTCTTGTAGTGACACAGATATCAACACATCTATTTTTTAATAGATATATTTATTCATTCCATATCTATCTATTTTCAAGTAATCAAACTAATAACTTTTCTTTTAACAATATGTGCAACATTCAAATTCCAAATTCCCAACCTGTCCAATTCAACTGCTTGCAATCTTCTAGAAGTTTCACATCACTTTAGAATCTTCACATTCACAATGCACACCATTCCTGGATCCGTGATAGTGAAACATCATTCGTAGCATATCTGCATCCAGTTACAGAACACCTGCGGAGTTGATTGGAATAAATAAAATTGTCTCCCAAATGATTCCGATGCCAATCACCATAGCGATTGCTTCCAATTTTGGTTGTGAATTGCTCATGAAACGATCCTTTCAGGGAGATGCTCCATGAGTACGAGAGGCGATTGGTTTCGGATTTGGCCAACCCTCTTTCGGAATAGTGCATCTGTTGCTGTGCTTCATGGCGGTAAGGAATTGATGAGCTTGGTTGATTGCTTTAGGGGGAGGGTATCTAGGTCTTAGTGATAATGTTTGGGATCCTTGGTTGTACTCTTGTTGGGACAAGTAAACATTTGTTACGCATGGCAGGCAATGGAAAAAGATTTGACGCTTTTGATGCTGTGCTTGGGATTCTGCTTGAAGAGGAAAAGAAGCATAAGCTTACCGAAAGCTAAGGAATGGACTGGATAAAGTTGATTCACTGTTTTTCACAGTTTATATTCTGTTTATATAGCATTTTTCACATTCTGTGAGGAATGGATTAGGATTTCAGCAGCTATACTAGTCATCCGTAGCCGTATTAGATCATTGCTGTGTCATTGTCTTGTCAATGATGTCCGTCGTGGAAGATTGCATTATTGAAAATTTCTCAAAATCATGCGGCATTCGTCGTGCAAACAATCTGGATACGGGTGCTTCATTCGTCGTCGTCTTGAAATATTTGCTTCTAATTTGTTTAATTAGTTAAGGGAGGATACGTTGATCATCTCGTTCGTGTCAAGTATTTAGCAGTAAATCTGGCAGCACACAAGAAATGCTAGGAAGAGGACAATTAACAAAGTTTTGTGTACTGATGCGGCTGCAGCAAGGGACGACCTCCCCGAATGTGGAATGGTCGATCATGAGAATATAAGCGTTTAGGTGATCTTTTTTCTGCAGGGTCGGCAGTAACCTTCACTGGCCTTTCTTTGTGTGTGTCCTGCCGTTTAGCCAGTGATCATACTCAATGAATTATCATTTATTCTTGTCCATTTTGCTTACGGAGGTTCATTTGGATATTGACTGGTGTTTAAAGAATGGTTTTGATTTCTCACCTTTGAGAAGTAGAACTACAACTCCGAGATCATAGTGTGATTAAGCTTGATTTTTAATTATCAATGATTGCAGTTCTTCTGTCAATCTCTTATTCTGGCCGTTCTACTGTCAAATCTTAGTTCTTTCTCAGTTCACAAGTTTGCATCTCGTGCTAATAGAGATTTGTGTGTGCTTATTTTTCCAGCCTACCCCCGACTAAAGGAGCAGATTGTTGATATCAACGGAACGACTTAATCAATTCAACGCAAGAATTAAGGAATTCAAACGGACTCTACTAGAAACAGAGGAGCTTAATGTGTCCATCCTGCAGGTTCTACACTCTCAGAGACAGACCCTTCTTCATGCCCAGAACACGGTGCGCAAATCTCATCATGCCCTCTAAAATCTGCTTATGTTCAACGTTGAATGTCCTGTGTAGTTGTGGTGAACAGTGGCTGTGACCTTGTGTGTTAGACCTGGTAGCAAAATCACCGAAAGAATGACCAGGCACGATTCACCTTATTCAATTATGCGCATAGAATTTGCAGATGATATGTACAAAATAGATTCAGGAATGAATTAACATGGATGTGTGCGCTGGTCATACAATTGCACTGCGTGGATGACAACATTGAAAAAGGTCGGCTGAACCTGAATTCAATGACTCGACTTGTGTCACGAAATAAATGGATAATCTGATTCGCACCAAATTACTAAGATTAATCTTCTTTGAAAGGAGAGTTGGCATGATAGAAGTCTTTGACCATGACTTGTGAAACTCTTGTAAATAAATACTGTATGAGCTTTATCTTGTTGCTGGAGTTTGAAGTGTTCGGACTCCAGGCAGGATATAGTAGCACTACCAGTGAGATTTTGCAGTGTCGTCACCATGGCTGAACAGACGTCGGTAGTATCTTGGTTCGGGACCTGGGTTGAGCACACGAGTATGCCCTCGATTATCATTCCAACGCATGATTCCTGCCAGACACCAAGCCAGTGGCTGGATTCCAATGGGTTGTAGATTGACAAGCAATTGAAGTTGCCGGATCTGGGTTCGGTGAGCCTAATTGAGATTGAAAGGGGACGGACGGTAGATCTTTAGTGGTAATTGTTGCAGTTGAATACCATTGCAGATCTCATGATGTGGATTAGCAGTCAAAGTGTTGAAAGCTGCTAAGAATTCTAGGTCCTATGTGTACAGGTCTGCAAAAATTGTCGAAGACATATTATGGGGAATGCAACTCTCAAGGAAGAATTTGCACCATCGAGGCACAGAGATGGCTTGATCTTACGATCCGGTTAACAAGATTTATCAATTGGTTCAACACAATCTACTAAGAGATCTGACATTCATGAGCCCGCGAATTATTTGAGATAAAGTAATTGCAGCGATTTGAAGGCAACAACTCACGTAGATCTTCACCATGGGTTGCAGAATTCATGTGTATCATTTATTTTTTTATATTTTTATTTGTTTGTTTTTGGTTCAAAAATTTAGCAACAATTTTTTTGTGTTATTATAAGACTTGTCTAATATATATATATATATATATATATATATATAAATATAGATGTATATGGTAATATTTTTCAATATATGTATATTTAAATATATATTATCTTGTCTTTAATATATATATATGTATATATATATATATATATATATTCTAAAATATTTTTTAAGTTTTTCATATATTTTAGATTTATTTTGTATTTTCTATTTTTATTTTGAAATCTATAATATATTTAAAATTATCATGATAAAAAAAATTATATTTTTAGTATATAGATAATTTGATCAATAACTATATTATTTTTAGTATTAATAGTATTTGATCTATCTTTTAATTATTTATAAGTTAAAAGGATATTTAAAACTTTTCTTAATGATTTTTTTTGTAGTTATTGAATAGTGACTTCTAGTTGATTATTAGTTGTTAAAATTTGAGAGCTTTGTACAAACATTCTTTTTATGTATACTTTTTTATTATTGAAATGTCATTTTGAATTTGAAGTTTTTGAACTACAATGGTGCTCTTAATGTATTATCACAGACATATACATGTAAACTAGTAATTATCTATCTATATAAATAGATAGAAATAGATAGACGTAGGTAAAAGTAAGTTAATTCTATAATATCTTTTATAGAAGCTTCCTAAAAGCTTCATAGATACTGCTTTGACTTTGTAGGTGTCCATTGTTGACTTTTAGGTTAGAAACTTGGTCAACAAGTTAACTATGTGCTTTACATGTTGGTAGCTTGAAGAATAAGCTAACTATGTAGTAAACATATAGAAAAACTTGCCTTGTAAGTCAAAGCATGTATCTTATAAAATGAACACATATTGGAGGTCTTATAGAATATCGCCAAGTAGTCCTTAGTTAGATAGTATATATAGAGATAAGAGTGAAGCTCTCTTCACTCTTGTCAACTCCTTTCTTGCTTCTAATCTAATTTCAAGAGTTTCAAGTTTTCTTATCTTTTGGCAATAAGCCATTCGAGTTTCTTTTTAATATACATACTTCTTTATTTCTATTTCGTCTTGTTTTCTTTGATACGGATTTCATTGATTTATGCATCATCTTGCAATTCATGTCCTTGATAGATTGAAAAGAGTATACTAATAATATCAAAGCTTTATCTTGTCTTGATTAAAAGTGGATTATCCCTTTCTCATCATAAAATATAAGCCTATTAGAAGTTACGGATTAGCCTCTTCTAAATTCATATTATTCTTAGTATTTTCTTTGTCTTCAAGCCCTTTCTTCTACTTGTCTTGAGTAGTATTAAATATTTTTGTGAGTGTTATTATGGCAGAGCTTTTTAAATTAAGAGTGTAATGGCACAAATGCAAGAGAAATTTAGAGAGTTGATGCTTACGATGCATCAACTTAGCTTCCCACCACAAGGATCAACAAGAATGACATGAAGTGAGGATATAAAGATGATTAGAGTTGCTTCAACATCAGTACCAAATCATGTCCTTCTATCTATAATAGAACATCTTTCAAATGTTAGAGAACTAAGAGTTGTCATACCTAAGAAGTTTGATAGTACAAGATCCAAATTTCGAGGATTTATCAATCAAGTACAACTTGAGATTGAACTTCAACCTCAAAGCTATCCAACTCAAAGATCACAAGTTGGATTCATTGATACACTTCTTTCAGGTTTAGTACTATCATAGTTTTCAACTTTTTTTGAATGACAAGATCTAATATTGGATAATCTAAAGGCATTTTTGGAAGAATTTTAGTCCATGTGTAGAAAACATGATGCAACTCATGTTACAACCAACAAGATCCGTATTTTATGACAAGACAATCGATTTGTAATATTATATGCTTCATATTTTTGATAACTTATAACTGATATCAAGTGGAATGATGTTGCACTTATTAACCAATTTCTATATGGATTACAATATGAAGTAAAGAAATTGATGCTCAACTTACCTGATCCTCAAATATTGAGTCAAGCAATTGACTTTGCTGTGAAGTGCAACAATTGAATTTTTAAATTTTAATCTGAGAATTGCACAAGTCAACCTCAACGTTACTACAATTCAATGGCAACACCAATATCTCCTCAACACATACATTTAAAAGTAGAGGATATATAAATTAATGGAGTATGTTTTAAACATCTTATCGAGCAAAAAATGACTCGTTGTCATCAAGAAGGATTGTGCTTATATTATAGACAACCTAAATACATTACTCAATGTTGTCTAAAGAAGTGACAAAACCACAAAATGAAGAGTACAGCTATCAAAGAAGACAATGTATCAAAAAACAAATTTATCCAACTATAATAGGGACTCTACGGCTAGAATCTTGTACAATTTCTTATGAAGGTTCTATCCTCTCCTCAGAATCCTCTCCTTGTTTTATAATAGATGTGTATTTAGGATCTAATAATTATAAAGCCTCTGCCTTGATAGATTCAGGAGCCTCAATTTATTTCTTAGACATAGAATTTATTAAAAGTCATAAAATATCGTTAGTACAAAAAACTAAGCTTATTCATGTAAAAGTCATAGATTATCGTCTGTTGTCTTTTAGAGATATTACTCATGAAATACTTTCCATAGATGTAGCAATAAATGGTCATAGTAATTACGTAATCTTTCATATAATTAGATCTCCTTTTAATCCAGTCATTTTAGGTTTATCATAGTTAGAAAAGTATAAGCCTTGCATAGATTGGACTTTTCATACTCTTGACTTCTCTAAAAGTATAACTAAGAGTAAAATTAATTTAGTAGAAAGTCATAAGTCTAGTACAATAAAACTTATATTTGTAGATGCGAGAGCTTTTCTTGTATGTTGCAAAAGAAGAATCACATTGAGCCATTTATGCCATACTTATTTCTAATGATGTAAAGACTTCAAGTGGCATTCCAAGCCAATATCAAGAGTTTTAAGATATGTTTGAAAAGAAGAATGCCGATACTCTTCCAAAACATCATCCCTATGACTGCTCAATTGACCTTCAAGAAGGAGTACAATTGCTATTTGGACCAATCTATAGTTTATCACAAAATGAATTGGTTGAACTCAAGAAATATATTGAAGAGAATTTGGCCAAGAATTTTATATGCTATTCCAAATGACCAGCAAGAACTCCAATCTTATTTGGAAAGAAGAAAGATGGATCATTATAGATATATTTTGATTATCAAAGATTCAACAAGATCAAAATCAAGAATAGGTATCCTTTATCTTTGATATCCGGACTTCTCAATCAACTGAATCAAGCTAAGATCTACACAAAAATAGATCTATGAAGAGCATACAATCTAGTACATATTAAAGAAAGAGATGAATGAAAGACTACATTTTGAACTAGGTATGGATATTTTGAATACCACATCATGCCTTTTGAACTTACAAATGCATCGATAGCTTTTCAACATCTAGTGAATGATGTTTTTTGAGAGTTTTTGGATGATTTTGTTGTCTCTTATCTGGATAATATTTTAATCTATTCTAAAAACATAGATGAATATGAACTTCATGTTCGTCATGTGTTACAAAAATTAAGAGATGTTGGACTCTATGCTAAGATAAAAAAAGTGTATATTCCACACTACTAAAGTCAACTTCTTAAGATACATCATTTCAAATGATGGACTTGTGATAGATCCTAAAAAAGTTCAAACTATTATAGATTGGAAGATTCCAAAAATGATAAGAGATGTCCAATGCTTTTAGAACTTTGCCAATTATTGTCAGATCTTCATCAAAAAAAATTCTTGAGTTACAACCCCACTTACACGTTTGACTTGCAAAGACAAACTTGAGAGGAGTAGAGAAGGTGAAGCATCTTTTGAAGCTTTAAAATCAACTTTTATTTCTACACCAATCTTATATCACATCAACTTTTCTAAGGCATTTTTATGGAAATAGACGCATTAAACTTTGCTTTGTATGTCGTATTATCACAAATGAGAATAAATGATAAACTTCACCTGATAGCTTTTTATTCCAATTTTTTTTCAGCAACCGAGATTAACTATGAAATCCATGACAAAGAGTTTCTTGCAATCATGGATTCATTTGAAGAATGGTGTCATCATCTAGAAGGTGCTTCTGATCTAATTATCGTATATATGAACCACAAGAATCTTGAGTATTTAATGTCAACACGTGTTTTGAATCATCACTAAGCCTATTAGAGCATGTTTTTATCAAGATTTGATTTCAAGATCACATATCGACCCCAAAAACAACAAGTTTTGTAAGATGCCCTTTCTAAACGTACTTATCTTGCACCAAAAGAAAGAGATACATCTTTTGATCAACAAAAAAATGATTCTTTTGAAATCAAAGCATTTTCATCTTCGAGTAATGAAATCAACATTGATTGTTGATTCCACCCTTGTAAAACAAATCCAATCAAGTATGTCTTCTAATCCTCTTGTTCACAATATCAAGAATCCTTCTTTTAAGTCCCAAGATACTTCTAAGATTGAGTTCAAAAATAACCTACTGTATTTTGAAGGTCAATTATATGTTCCAAAAAGAGAAGCATGATTACATGTTCTTCAAGCACGTCATGACTTTCTAGCAGTAGGACATTGTGGATACAACAAGACTTTGGAGCTTATATCTAGAGATTTTTAGTAGCTACAAATGTGAAAGGATGTAAAAGACTTTGCTCAATCATGTGACATTTGTTCAAGATCAAAAACTCCTCGTCATCAATCTTATAGGCTTCTTCAACCATTATCCATTCCAGAACAACCATGGTCTTTTATTTCTATAGATTTCATGACGGATCTTCCAATTTCAAGTTCTTATGACTCTATATTTGTGATAGTAGATTATTTTACCAAGATGGCACGTTTTGTATCATGTATAAAATCTATCATAGGTGAAGAAATAACTAAATTCTTTCTTGACAACATCTATTGCTATCATGGATTATTCAAGGATATTATATTGGATAAGGGAACTCAATTTGTATTAAGATTTTGGTAGACTCTTTTTAAGATTCTAAAGTGGATATAAAAATATCTTCGACATTCCATCCTCAAATTAATGGACAAACAGAGCGTGTTAATCAAGTTATGGATCAGTATTTAAGATGTACCATCAACTACCAATAAGATGATTGGACAATTCTTTTGCCATTGGCAGAGTTTGCTTTTAATAACATAGTACATTCTTCTACAAAACCAACACCTTTCTATACCAATTATGGTTGTCATCCATGATTTGATACTTTTGACTTTTCAGAAGTTAATAATCTTGTGGTGGAAGATTTGACAAATCGTTCATTAGAGCTATATGCAACAATGAAAGCAAATTTACAAGAAGCTAAAGAACAACAAAATATCAATACGGATGTTTATCAAAAGGAACAACTACCATTTTACGTGGGTGACAAGGTATAGTTACTTTGTCGCAATATCAAGACTACTCATCCTTGTGACAAGTTGAACTATTGTAGGCTTAGACCATTTCTTATTTGTAAACAAATCAATGTAATTTTATATCATTTATACCTATCAAAGTCAATGAAAATCCATCCAATATTCCACGTGACTCTTCTTGAACCATATAAGACAGTGGACATACCAAGAAGAAAAGTGCCACCTGCTCCTATAGAAGTAGACAATAATAAAGAATTTGAAGAAGAAGAAGAAGTCTTAGATTCAAGGCGGTGCCAAAATAAGTTGGAATATAATTAGCACGGATACAATATTAGTGAACACACATGGGAGCCAATAAAGAATCTTGCAAATACAGCAAAGAAGGTGGAGGCTTTTAATCCATGACATCCATCAAAATGAAGATGAAAACCTTTTTTATAAAAGAAATAAGATCTAGGCAAGATAATATTCTACTTTCAATCCTTGTTTGTAGCTTCTTTGTATTTGAGACCATGAAGATATGGAGAACAAACAACCAACAGATTTGATTGAAGAGCCTTCATTTGCTGATGTGTAGGACAAGACATTGTAATTGTCATAACCTTCAAGACTATGCAATTGAGATGAAGATCCTGAAGAATGACATGTTTTTTCTTGAATAGATGGCAAGATACAACACGTTTGGTATCACGACCTTAGAAGAGACTCCCGATGTTTGGTAATTTTATTAAAGGTAGGAATAACTTCTGATAGTATTTCAAATATTTTATTTGAAGGAAGTTATGAAGGCCTCAACAATGACCAAATAACAGGGTGGTCTTCTCACCTTGGTATGAAAAACTATCGATGGTTGAGAGGCCCTATCAATCATCTTCGAAGAGAATAAAGATTTGAGTATGTAGCAAATACAATTCTTTGCATCATAGATTTTCTCAACATATGATGACCGCTTCTTGTAGAACTTGTTCCTAGAAGGGAGAATAATGTCACTGATATACACATGTAAGCTAATAATTACCTATATAAATAGATAAAAGTAAATAGACATAGGTAAAAATAAGTTAATTCTATAATATCTTCTATAGAAGCTTCATAGACATTGCTTTGACTTTATAGGTGTCTATTGTTGACTTTTAGGTTAGAAACTTGGTCAACAAGTTAACCATGTGCCATACATGTTGGTAGCTTGAAAAACAAGCTAACTATGTAGCAAACATATAGAAAAACTTGCCTTGTAAGTCAAAGCATGTGTCCTACAAAATCAATACATATTGGAGGTCTTATAGAACATCGCCAAGTAGCCCTTAGTTAGATAGTATATATAGAGTTAAGAATGAAGCCATATTCACTCTTGCCAACTCTTTTCTTGCTTCTAGTCTAGTTTCAAGAGTCTCAATTTTTCTTATCTTTTGGCAATGATGCATTCCAGTTTCTCTTTAATATATGTACTTCTTTATTTCTATTTTGTCACTTTTTCTTTGACACGGATTTCAATGGTTTATGCATTATCTTGCAATTCATGTCCTTGACAAGTATATTAACATTCTCCTATTTTGTACTTGAATATTTTTAAGTTAGTATGTGATTAGTAACAATGAAATTGATAAGACATATAAAGAAAACAACACTAACATGTATAAAAAAAATAAAAAATAAACATAATATTCAAGCATGAATAAAGCAATTACAAAGTATAGTGCTAATGGGTTGTGCTGTACATCCATGATGGAAGGGAGTTGAATACCACAACTCCAAGAAGTATTCTACAACCATGAGTAAAAGAATTGGGCATAAAAGATTTAGAGAGATGTGCATAATTTAGTAGAGACAATTACACATAAAATATATAAAATAAAACTACAACCATCTAAATAAAATAAGTAAATAAAACCACAAGTCTTTATTACATGTGTCCAAGACAAAAACTCATCAAAGATTTGCTCTAGCAATTTATGGCAAGTTGATAGAATAGGTACAACATCTAACATAAAATATACATAGCATAAGACCTTAAAATCAAGGATAATTAAATTAAGGCAGTATAACCTCAAACAATGTGACAAGTGGCAACTAAGTTGGGTAGGGGTAGTAAAGTAGTTCCTGGTAGTTGCCCATGGATGTCCAGTTTTTTTTTTTTTTTTTTTTTTTTTTTAATGTCTATTGATCAATTCTAGATGTTTTGTCAGAATATTCCAAAAACGGCAAGCGCATTGAATTGTTCCATAGTGTAGTTGCAAATGTTTGTTTTGATATTTTGGTATATAAATAATAAATAAAAAAGTGTCAGCAAAATAACTTTGTAAATTAGGTAGAAATTAATATATTCTCAACCAAATAAACAAATCATTATGAGAAGAATTCTAAGATTTAAATTATAACTTAAATTAAATTAAATTAATATGAATCAAAATTTGCAATATAATATCTCTCTTCATTCCAGCTAATTTTGACGGGTAGTTCTATCAGTATGGTGCAAAACCAGATTTCACAAACGAACACACAGAAATCTGTATTCTTCGACACCAATGCAGATGAAGCGAAGAGCAACCAAGATGTAAGAAATTCTTGGGCCCCGGAGGATCGTCAATAGTGCTCATCGTGTAATTTACAAGGTATAATGTACATTGACATCCCACCTGTTCGGTGAATGTACAAACTACGACTTAATCACCGACTTCCTCTATGCTAGTGGCTCGCAGACAATTTGCAGCTCTTGCTATATGCTGAGATTCACAATCTAGAATACCATCAACTAAAAACTCTTGGTGCAGAGGCGCTGCAGTTGTCGGACGGTGTTACTCTGATCTTACAACTCACTCGCAATCAATAGCTTTCCCTAAAAATATCAAAAATGTACACTAATCAGAAAAATTATCTCTGTCTGCAACTCACACTCCAGGAACTTATGCATTGAGCCCTACATCGGCGCGGGTTGCAGCTGTCGCGAATGGGATCATGAAGCGAAGGATTCAGATGCACCCCCCTCGCCGAAATGCCATAGGAAATTTGCGTAGTTACTTGCAGGGAAAGAGCTGTCTGGATCGGCTGCTATGGCGGCCTTGAACGCTCTCTCGGCTGCGGATCGAATTCCCCGCCCTAGCCATAAGAAACTAGCGAAGCGCCCGAGAATGGTCGAATCTAGAGGATCCGCTTGCATAGCCCGGTGGAAATACTCCTCAGCTCTGACATATAAATCAGAAAAACCCCAAAAACATTAGACTTATGTTACGGGTTGTTGAGAATGTGAGACGATGCATCAAATTCCAGAAAGCTACCAAGTGGCTCTTGATTCAAAACAATCCAGCATGCTGTAAGATGAGGTGCAGGACCCACATACCGGTTGTTGTCACGCCGGACGACAAAAAGAAACTGCGCGTAGTTGGCAAGAAGCAGAGGATTGAAAGGATCCATGTTGATAGCGTACTGATACTCGAGATTAGTGCGGTCGAAGCAAGGATACTTGTCGGATTCAAGATGTACCGCAACAGGAGCAACAAACCTTCGAATTGTGTCTTGACCTAGCTGTACATGTTGCAGTAGCTCATTGCTATCGGGCTTCAAATCCTGCATGCTGCTGTCAAGCCACGCCTTCCACAAATCTTGCCGCTTCTCACGCTTTGATTGCGACTTCCTTTTAGCTTCATCGACTGCAGAACCAGGAGAGTGGAAGTCACGAATTGATTCCTTCTGAGAAAACATGTATCTCTGGTTTAGAGCACTATTGAACCATGCGTCCCCATCATAGCTCTCTGCAATCAGACCAGAAGGGTAATTGTTGCCCCCAGAGCCATCACCTAGACTTGCGGGGTCAGGTTCAGATGCCGTCGACACGGAATCCTTCAACATGTTAGAATATATCTGAGTACCAATAGCCAGGTAAGGATTAGACGATGCTTGTGGGTTCCCGTATGTCGAGAGGAAGAGGGCTATGGGCTCTGGTGTCTCTGTGACGATGGCTATGGCGACATTCTCCCCCGTGGAGTACACAGTGAAATTAGCCAGTAGAATCATGACGGAGACCATGAGCTTCGGAGTACATGCGAAGATTGTTTGGAAGAGCCAAACGAAAGACGAGTGCAACTCCCGATGAGCAAGAAGTAAAACCTCATCTACATCCCACTCTGACAACAGCGCCTGCCGCATCTGCAGGGCATGGCTCTGCACTGCCTTGATCATGTACACCATGGACGAGAATGCTTTCTTAATGGCGCATCCTCGCTCCCTCGCAGGTGAAGCTCTGCTTTCGCCTTTCTTTCGCAGCTTCTTTATGGATGACGGAAGGTGCACACCTCCCAGCCCCAACCCACAGAGCACCTGCGAATCTTTGCCTTGAGTAGAGATGGAAGTGGACGCAGTGGAGCACCCTGGCGATTCGACGCCATGGTGTGGACTAGGTCCAGAGAGATCAGCACCAGTGTTAAAGGATGATCCAACCTCGGCAACGTCAAAAACTGCTGCTGTCGAAGGTGGGCATTCACCTAAGTCGCTCGCTCTAGATCCCGAGTGATGAGACGATTCCAAAGACATCATCCTTGCATGAAACTCGTCATCAAGATTGGGCGATGGCGACCTCCAAAATTCATCGGTTTCAGGGTTAGAGGATCCAAAATTGGGGCTAAGCATAGATCTCGGAATCTCTGCATTTGCGAAGCCTCCATCCTGTCGATCCTTCTGTTCGATTATGTCTGATTGTGCACCAACACCTCGTTTCGTTACACCAAAACCAAAACCATCCTTCTCCTGAAATCCCTCTATACTCTCCCCATCAGGAAGCCCTGCCTGCTCGAAGGAATTTGCTCTACAAATGCAAGTTTCTGAAATTCGTTGTTTGCTATGCTCCAAGCAAGAGCCAGATGCTGAGACCGAAACAGAGCCGAAAGTGGGGGAGTTCAGGATGGAATTTGAGCTAGAGGTGACAACTTTACTCTTTTGGCTCACAGCCTTGTGCCTTCGCCCAGTACTTGAGGCTGCTACTCTAGGGCGTCGCCTCGCCAGGCGCGAACGTCGTGCGTCCCTCAAGTCAGGGTCAATGATAACATGAAAAGGCAGCGATAGTTGTGCAGCAGCATTTGACATGAAGCCTTTGGAGGAAAAAAAAACTTCTAGAGCCATTGGTCAAGTTAGTATTTTTTCTCCGTGAGGTGTGATCACAGACCCCTCACGAGAAGCCGTCAGCTAAAAAGTATGTGCCACTGCGGCTGCGTGTCAAATAAACTCATAACTCTTACTGACTTCTCCCTCGCCTTCCCAACAACATCACTTCTCAAGCAATCACCAGAATACCCAGATCTGTCTACACTCTCAAGCTCAGAATAAAATCCCTCTCAACAACAGACCCCCCCATTTTCTTCTCTGGTCCTCCACTCCCCACAACGACAATCTGTGTAACATCCGAAGGCCGAACAATCAGTTCTCTGGAGGAAACTCTCAGTATGCTTAAAGCCTTGATCGATGTCCAAGTTCCTAATCTTGATGCCAAGACACCGTTGCCTAGAATTCGAAGGGGAATTTAGTCTAAGGAGAAATAACCCTGTGAAAAACTTCACAACCGATAACAAACAAAAAATGCCAAACCTATCAGGGACCAAAACTCTGTCCTAGAGAGTCGAAAACTCTCCCGGGGGGGGGGGGGGGGTTGTGCAGATCGAGACCCTACAGTAGATGATCGGGCATCGCAGGGCAACCAAGATCGCTTTTCCAGTGGGCATGGCAAGAGCGACCAACAGAAACGAGAATCATGATATTTGTGGTTTTGTCTGCAGTGTCAAGCCCCGAGATATTAATATGCGCTAATATTAAACCCAGGGGCATGGTCGAGTCTCAGAAACTGTCTACGCGGGACCAGTTTCATAGACTCGCGATCATGTGCAAGCTCTAAAGCTCACCATCTCTCGGCTCCACTTGCTAACTCTCCTTCTCTAGCACGGTCAGCCCTCAGATCTCACGCTGCATTTCATCTCGCAACGATGACAAGCCTTCTCATATCATTAGCCTAATCAACTCAAGCGATACAAATCTCCACATCCAGCGGGGAGGGAAGACGCGGAGCATCAGAGTAACCTCGATCTACCGTATCAGAACTCAATCTCGAATTTCATGCTCGGAACCAAACTCCGATCTCCGAATCCGGAACTCGCCTTGGTTATATATAAACCTCTGAGACAAATTTCAGACAAAAAGCACACAAAAGCTTCCCAAAGGATTCCAAACTACTCCAATGCTAGTTAATGCTTACCGAGGTAACTCTATTTTTGGGAAATGTCACATACGCTCGCCTGATACTGCGCTCGGGGTTCGTTATCGGCAATTGACGAGAAGCTGCAACAGTTGACGGAGGCACCGAAAAGTTGATGTCATTAGGCAGGTGTCGCTATTATTCTGGCATGGCAAGGGCATGGCGAGACCTGCATGTTATCACTACAGATAGTGGTTAACATGAAAAAACAGTTTCTAATTTGGGCGCCGGAGTGGGAGCCCTCTCTCACCAATACTAATTGGGATATGCTGCGCTGTGCACCATTGATTCTCCGAGCGAGTGTGTCCGTCCAGCCAATGCATGATGATTTCAACAGTGCACTAGTGCTAACCACAACCAGCAGACAAATTTTACTAGCTGCACCTCGTAAGGTGACGTGTGGATATTGAAGCCTGCCAATCCTGAACGAAACTCCTGAAACTGCAGTCGTTTCCACTTCCAAGTCGACCCAAATCACGAGAAGCTTGTCTTAGAGTTCGATCCGAATGACACGCGGATGGTCATCCATTTACACGATTCTAACAAAACGTTCTGTGGGTCCCACTTTTTTGGGGAGTTGTCAGTCGATCCCCGTCGTCGGCTCCTCTGGTCACCCTCACCCACTCACGATCGGAACTAGATAGTCCATCCTAGAACTGGTCATTGACATCGAGGTCGCCAACCAGCCCCATTCTCAGCGCACTGCGTTGTTTCCCCTACTAGACCGTTCGTCAACTGTACGGACCCTTCCACACAACCTCCATCGATGTCGAGGTGCCAGAGATCCTAGGTAATCCGATCCTCTTGTAATAACCCGATCCTCCTGCAAGAACATCAATTGTTTCTTCTTTTTCTTATGCAAGTTCATAGTAAATGGGAACTGCATTCAAAGGCCATTCAAATGGGTGCATGTTGCATGGAGATAGTGGATGTTGGTTCTTGGAACTCGTGGCTCATGGGGTTTATTTAGGGTAGATTAAGTTGTGGGTCTTGGATGATTTGGTATGTTTGAGTGGATTTTTGTGGTTTTGTTGTAATTATGTGGTTTTATTACTTGTGATTTGTTCCCCAAAATAGGTAGCTATATATATATATATATATATATGTGTATATATAAATATAGAAACAAACAAATAAATAAAAAGATGTTGCAAGTGTTATTATAGTTATCATAGTTACTGGTGCTGTTACCACGGCTTATTTTTATTAATATTGAAATTATTACATATATATATATATATTGAAACTATCAACAATATTTTTTTATTGGTATAAACAAAAACTAAATATATATATTAGGTGGGAGGCAAGATAGCAAAAATTGTGGTAGTATTAACAATATCTAATATATATATATATATATATATATATAATATTTTGTTACTTTTGTTCAATACAATAAAAATGAAAAATATTAAATTGGTACTTTAATATTATTATTACTTTATTTTTTACATATTTTTAGTAAAATGTACTACTTATGATTTATTGAAATGTGTAAAAATAAAGTTAAATTAATTAGAATTGAGAATGCCAATTTATTCTAAGGATTAATCAACATGATTTATATTATCTTATTTTTAGAAATTTGATTTTATTCTTAAAACACATTATTAATATGAAGTTAAATAAATTAAAATTTTATAATTTAAAATTTATTTTTAACAATATCTAATATAATTATATTTTAAATTGATTTTTATAATTTTTAACACTAACATTAAAACCCCTTGCTTTATTTTGGGAGTAACATATTGCAGGTAATCAATAAAACATAGATTGAAGTAAAAAATTATGACTAAAATTTTAGTTATATTTTCTAAGTCTTAAGGCTTAACTAAAATATAGTAGTAGATATAATTATAGACATGTTGTGTCTTTAAACTCAAAAGTGATTTAAATGACGTAGACTTTTTAAAAATTTATGAATTGAGAGCTTTACATTTATATATTATAATATAACTATTGGATAAAAAAATGGATGAAGATTAATATATATAGTTTATGTTTAGAATACGTTTTTGTAAAATTTAATAAAAAATATATTTGATTGATATTTAGAAAAGTCCATTTGTAAGACAAGATTAAAATCATATTCCAAGGTAAAAAATGATCACTTTTTTTTTTCAAAGAGGTTCTTTTGGAGATCAAACTCTGAGATTAGAGAGAAGGTTTTTAAAATTTTCTTACACCTCAAAATGTCATGGACATACATTGGAAGATTCTTCGAATATTCTTCTAGAATATTCTCTAAAGATTCTCTAAAGATTCCTTTAAAAGGTTCTAGAAGATTCTTAAAATATTCCCTAAAGATTCTCTTAGAAGGTTCTAGAATATTCTTAGAAGGTTCTAGAATATTCTGATAGATTCTAGGAAATTGCTCGAGAAGTTTCCTAATTAGTAGAAGTTGTTGGAGAAGCGTCCTAGTTAGCGGAAGTAGCTCGAGAAGCTTCCTATTCAGTAGTATATATAGGAGTCGAGGTTGAAGGGTTCTTCAGTCTCGACAACACATCTCTTGGAGTTTTAGCTCATCTTTCTGGTGTTGTTCTTGTACTCATCTGTTTAATCTAGTCCTGCCACTTCTTCTTGAACTTCTTGTTAGATTTCAAGTCTGTATTTTGTGTCCGTGACAGTTTGTCGAGACTGCATTTTCACTGGTATCAGAGCTAGTTCCTTCTTGTTAGGGAGTGGATTACCCCTCTTCTTGAAGGTGTGCTAGTGTTTTAGAGGTTGCGGATTACCCTCCTCTAAACTGATATCTCTTCTTTCTCAATATTGGAGCCTTATTCTTCTTGGAGAGAGTGGATTACCCCTCATCTTGGAGTCTTAAGGCGTTTTAGAGGTTGCGGAGTACTCTCTTCTGAACCAATATTGTCTTCTTGTCAAAACTCTTTTTTCTTCTTTCTGAAGGTTAGCCGAAGGTTAAGACGTTAAAATGGCTGAAAGTTTGGAATCCAAACTAGACGCTATCATAAATACTCTTGCCTCGTTGTCACATAGGACAACAGAGATCGAAGGAGTCATGGTGGGACTCCATAACAATGGAGCATCTGGGATAGCGCCATCTAAAGCATATCAGCGTCAAACTTTTGCGCCAGAAGAAGCAGTTCTACCTCCATTTCAACAAGATCGAGTAGTCCTACAATGAAAGGAGCCTCGAGTTAGTCTTCCGGATAAGTTTGATGGAACTCGTTCCAAGTTTCGAGGTTTTGTCAACCAAATCAGGTTGATAACAATTTTACAGCCCGAACGTTATCCGATGGAGGAAGCGCGTGTTGGGCTTGTTGGAACCTTGCTTACAACACAAGCTCTGTCTTGGTTTACTCCCTTGTTCAAGAAGCGATCGCCAATCCTGAGCAACTTTGAAACGTTCTTGGAGGCATTTGCAGAAGCATTTGGCGAGCATGATAAAGTTCGATGGGCTACAACAAAGATCCGATCGCTACGACAAGGAACACGCTGTGCATCAGTCTATGCCTCGGATTTCAGACAATTGACAAGTGACATTAATTGGGGTGAAGAGGCGTTGGTGAGTCAGTTTTATTGGGGCTTGAAGGATGATGTGAAGGACTTGCTGTTATCTCTTCCTGATCCTCAAACGCTCAACGAAGCTATTAGCCAAGCTGTAAAGTGTGACAACCGCCTATTCCAGCGTCGCCAAGACCAACGTCCAAGACATCAAATGACTCGTTACGACGTGACTATGTCTGCAACTAGCTTAAACTCACATTCGGAGGCAACAGACATGCAAATCGACACGACGCGTGTCCGATCTCTTACTCCAACAGAGAAGAAACGGCGTATGGAGGAAGGGTTATGTTTGTACTGTGGAGAAGAAGGTCACAAGGTTGGAAATTGCCCAAAGAAGCAAAATTGGCACCCTGTCAAGACTAGAAGTGCGATGATTCCAGAAAACGACGACGCCCAGCCACAGTAGGAACCGTGCGGCTGGACAATCTAATATCACGACAACAATCAGGTTCCTCCTTCTCTGTCCAACCTGCCCGTTGTTTTACAATTCCTTTGTTTTTAGGCCCTCAAAAACAAAAAACTTTAGCTTTATTGGATTCGGGGGCATCTACTTGTTTTTTAGATGAAGAGTTTGCTAAACGCCACAAGATCCGTTTAGTACAGAAGTCCAAACCTGTTCACGTAGAGGTGATAGATGGACGATCCTTATTGTCAGGCAACGTTACCCACGAATCAGAACCTATAGAAGTGGTGTTTAAGGACCATAGTAGTCACGTTATTTTTAATATTATTAGAACCCCATCAAGCCCTGTTATCCTTGGTCTTTCTTGGTTAGAAGTTCATAATCCGTCCATTGATTGGAGGCTACGAAGGATAACATTTCCTGAAAAAAATAATAATAAACCTGTTGGTAGAACCTACATGAAGAAATCCATGTTTATTGGAGCGAGAGCGTTCCTAAGATCGTCCAAGGAAGGCGCACCATTTGTCATTTATGCAGCTCCAACTAGCGGCGAGAATATCTCAACATCGAATATACCAGAGCAATATAGGGATTTTGAAGACGTGTTTCAGAAGAAGAACGCCGATATACTGCCGGAACATCGACCATACGATTGCGCCATAGACTTAGAGGAAGGAGCGCAACCACCTTTTGGTCCAATATACAACCTATCGCAGACGGAGTTGGCAGAATTGCGGAAATACATCGATGAGAATCTAGCCAAGAATTTTATTCGACATTCAAAGTCGCCAGCTGGAGCACCAATCCTATTCGTGAAGAAAAAAGATGGCTCACTACGGATGTGCGTGGACTACCTAGGACTCAACAAGGTGACCAAGAAAAATCGCTATCCCTTACCTTTGATCTCCGGCCTCTTAGATCAACTTGGACGTGCAAGGATTTTTACAAAGATTGATTTAAGAGGAGCCTACAACCTTGTGCGAATCAAAGAAGGAGATGAATGGAAGACAGCCTTTCATACAAGGTATGGCCATTTTGAGTACAATGTCATGCCTTTTGGTCTTACCAATGCTCCAGCGGTCTTTCAGCATATGATGAACGACATCTTTCGGGAGTACCTTGATGACTTTGTTGTCATCTATCTGGATGATATTTTGATATTTTCCAAGAATGAAGAAGAACATGAGAAGCACGTTTGTTTGGTTCTTGAAAAACTACGCGAACGAGGACTCTACGCCAAGTTAGAGAAG